GAATGCACAGGCTGGCTTCAGAGTTGGCCATGCCCACTACAGCCGAAACCTCTCTGTGTGTGGCTGTAGAGGGAAGGTCTGGAGAGCGACACCCCCCTGGTGACTCCGAGGCAGGCAGGCCAGGGTGGGGCCTGGAAGGATCGGGGAGACATTTAAATGCCTCCCCGTGCCGTCCCCGATGTGTCCAAGGGCCGGCTTGCCCGGGCAAGCCAAGGAAAGGCATGGGGGCATGGCCTAATATGCTAATGAGCTGTGCTGTTGGGGAGTGGCCTAATATGCTAATGAGTTTCTGCTGTTGGGTGTGGCCTATTATGCTAATGAGTTCCTGCTGGGCTTTTTCTACAAAAAAGCCCTGATTTTAGTTATTTTCTTCATCTATACTCTGCCATTCTACCCAGTGAGGGCCCAAAGTGGTTTGCATTGTTCCCCTCTCCTTCGTCCTAACCTCACAACAACACCCCTGTGAGGCGCGTTAAGTGGAGAGGGTGCGACTGGCCCCCGAAATCACTCAGCCAGCTTCTGGAGCACAGTGAGGTTTCGAACCTGGAATCTTCCTGATCCGAGTCCAGCACTCTAACCACTACGCCGCACAGCTTTCTGAGAGCCAGGGTGGGGCAGTGGTTAGAATGTCAGGCTAGGATCTGGACGCTCTCTCAGCCTAGCCTACCTCACAGGGTTGTCGTGGGAATAAAATGGAAGGGAGGAGAACAGTGTAGCCATGGCATAAATAAATTTCCCCTGGCCTTCAGACGTGTTATTTCAGTAATCCTCAGAACAGCTGTGTAAGCTAGGCTGGATAGTCCTCAATGTCAAAATGGCCAGAGTCATAACATTGCTGGGAGTGACCCATAATCACTGCCAGCTTAACTATAGCTTAACACTTGATCCAACCAGGTTGGAGACAACATAACAGTCAGTTCTGGGGTCTCCTAAACAAAGTGCCTGAGCCCCAACCCACCCATAAGCTAAAAAACATTCCTCATCAGTTCCAGTTCCCTATCACAACCATGACATAAATAAATTTTCCATGGCCTTCAGACATGTTTCAGTAATCCTCACAAGAGCTTTGTAAACTAGGCTGGAATTAATCCCACGTTGTGGATGAGGAGGTTGAAGCTGAATTACTGGTCTCTTGAAGGCCTGTAAAGACCAAAGTAAATGTACCCATGGGCAATTTGTGGTTCCCCCCCCCCAAAAAAAAAGATCATAGCACACTGGGGCTGCAGCACTGGGGAAGGAGTGGTATTCTTAGTTGAAATATTACTACCAGTTATATTGCTGTTACTCATTAGTAAACTGTTTTATTATTCTATTCTATTCTCAGCATCCTTCTGCACAGGTTTTTTTTTTTTTTTAACTTTTCATGAAGGAGTGGTGCACCCACCCTCCAGTCCCCTAATTTAAATCTTCCCTCTCATGCTTGGCTTGGGAGCCTTTACAACTTGCCCTCTTTACCTCCATGGAGGAAGGAATCATTTCTCCAAAGGTCAGATCCCTCGGCAGAATCTTTCCTGTTGCTCTTTGTGGATCTTGCCTCTGTGCCGTGTGCTTCCCTTCTGATAACCACCCGCTCTCCTTGCAAACAGACCCTCCTGACCAGACAATAGATGAGGTGAGCGCCCAGGAGTTCCGGAGCCTCATGGATCTCAATGTTGTGAGCGGTTTCTTAGCATCAAAGGTGAGCAACCTCACTGTTATGAGCGGCTCTTCTCCCCAGTTAGCAGGGGGGGGGGATCAGAATGCTGTGCTCAGGGAAAGAGGACCCAGCACTTTTATTATGGCAGATGTCCAGGAAAACAGGAACACTGTCAGAAGAGGGAGATGGATAGGTTTCGATGTCACCAGCTGTAAACCTTAAGGTAAAGGTAAAGCTTCCCTTGCTCGAAAGCCAGTCAAATCTGACTCTAGGGTTGCGGTGCTCATCTCCGTTTCAAAGCCGAAGAGCCAGCGCTGTCTGAAGACGTTTCCGTGGTCATGTGGCCGGCATGACTAAACACCAAGGCGCACGGAACACTGTTACGTTCCCACCGAAGTGGTACCTATTTATCTACTTGCAATTTCTTGCTTTCGAACTGCTAGGTTGGCAGGAGCTGGAACTAGAGACGGGAGCTCACTCAGTCATGCAGCAACTCGGGTCTCGAACTGCTGAACTACCGACCTTCCACAGCCTGCAGTTCAGCGTCTTAACCACTTGAGCCACCGCAGCTCCTTGTAAACCTTAAAGAGTGACACAAAACCAATTGCCCCCTTCCAGATCGACACGCCTAGGAGGAGAAGAGTTAAAACAGCCTGCTTGCCTGGAAGATGCAGGAGGAGCTATGGGGAGTCTCCTGTCAGATTGAACCGATTTTCCCCAAAGTTGGGGGGGGGGGAGAGAGAGAGATGCTACGAATGCAGGCAACACGTCTTCACGTTTGGATGCATACATCTCCTCCTCCTGCTTCATTTCTTAGAAACAATCCCCTTTGCAACCTGATATCCCACACCTCTTCTGTGGGAGTGGTTTTTGAGTAGGCTGTGTGTTAGCTTAAATAAACCCCTTTTATTAAAGGGTGTAAGACTGCCTTTGCATTCTTACCCACTAGCCTGTAGGCTGGTTGGGCAAGCTACCTATAGATGTCCCAAGGTGTCCAGAGGAGTTTTGGGGAGACCAGAAATCTTTGAGTAGTAGCAGAACTCTGCCCCCCCCCCCAAGTCTTACAAAGGTGGGAGAAAAAAATGGGAATTCCCACAAGGGAATTGGGATTCCTCTTGAACTTCCATCTCTGGGCAGCTCCAGCTCTCTCTCCAGCTCAGCCAGTTTGGTGTAGTGGTTAAGAGCGCAGGCTCTAATCTGGGCGAACAGGGGGGCTGATTCCCCACTCCTCCACATGCAGCTGCTGGTGTGACCTTGGGTCAGTCACAAGTTCTCTCAGAGCTGTTCTGGAAAGAGCAGTTCTGGAAAGAGCTCTCTCAGCCCCACCGACCTCACAGGGTGTCTGTTGTGGGGAGGGAAAGGGAAAAATCCAATCACTTCTTCTTTGGCTGACTCTTGTTATCTTGGAACAAGCGATGGAGGCGAAGAGGGAGTGAGGGACCTTGGGCGACTGTGACTCCAGTGGAGGGAAGCCAGAACTGACACTTTGATTTGCAGGGAAGCTTTGGGGAAGAGGCAAGTGGGTGGTGGGAAGTATGCGGGCACCATGGCACCCATGGGTATGAAGCTGGGCATCACTGGAGTCAGCTGTTCTAGGAAAGATGGACTATTATTCAGTCTGAGGCTGTTTCATCTGGCCTGAAGGGTCAAGGGCATTTTTCTCCTTATTCCTCTGTCAACAGTTTGCACTGCCCTACCTCCGGGAAACAAGAGGGAACATCATCAACATCGCCAGTCTTGTGGGTGGCATGGGGCAGAAATGCGCAGTGCCCTATGTGGCCACCAAGGTAAGCCTGAGCCCAAGACAGAGCCCCACCCAACCCCCCTTCACCCTCTTCTCAGCCTCCAGGTTTATGCACTTCTATCCTGCTGCTTTCAATAGCATCTTGAGCTTCCTCTGCTTGGTTCCTGCTGGTGTTAAAGAGCTAGGGAAGACTGGGCAGGTGTTTCTGTAGCCAATTCGCAGCCCCATCTAAACCGCTCGGTGTGTTTTCATCTACAAATCTTAAATTGGCCTGTAACAAAAATGGCCAGTTCTGATTTTACTAAAAGGAAAGTTTGCTTTCTCCTGCATCAGTTCAGTTTCACATTGACCACATTTGCACATTGCATAAACTGTCTGAGAGAAGGTCAAAGGGGCATTGGGCCCCCGTGGAGGAAAAACGCCAGTGATTTCCCAGGGCTCCTTGGAAGAGTCCTTCCCCCGGCGCACCAGGAGGTGACTTGATAAATTGGATTAGGTGGGGGTCTTTCTTACTCCGGCTTTATCGCAAGGAGTAAATCCATGCTCACACACACACAAATCAGGGCTTGCCACCCTCTGCTCAATTAAAGAACAGCAAGACTCATGTTTTTGTGGGGGAGACTCAAGGTGAGTGAGGGACTGCCAGTTTCCATTCTCTAATGCACAGCTCCTCTAAGAGAGAGCCTCTACTTTGTCGGGACCAAAGTACACGTCATGTTGGGGATCTGTTACTGGATCCCTTGACCCTTGGTGTGTGTGTTTTTGCCTTAAAAAGCAGCTGCAGAGGGCAGCCAATCAGGGACTGAGATGGTGGTGCTGTTGAGGGGGGGGCTAGCTCTCCTCCCATGCCATTTCCTTGGTCAACCCCCCCCCCAGGCATGCATACACACAGAGGAACTATTTACTTAGAGATTAAGAAGAAGGGGGGGAGAAGATTTGGATTTATGCCCCGCCCTTCACTCGGAGTCTCAGAGCGCTTACAATGTCCTCTCCCTTCCTCTCCCCACAACAGACACCCGGTGAGGTAGGTGGGGCTGAGAGAGCTCTGACAGAACTGCTTTTGAGAGAACAGCTCTGACAGAACTGTGACTGACCCAAGGTCACCCAGCTAGCTGCATGTGGAAGAGTGGGGAATCAAACCCGATTCTCCATATTAGAGTCCACACACCTAACCACAACACCAAACTGGCTCTCCAGTTATATACTTATACGGTTTCCCCACCCCCAAAAAAATGGGGAACCCAAAGTGAATTTCACCCTCAGCCTCCCTTGTTACTTCCACAACAGCAATCCTGTGAGGTTTGCTAATTTCAGATGTTTTTATGGTTGCACTTGAGAATGCATCTGCACAGAGCAGTAGGGTGTAATTTTTTAAATGTGCATTAATGATTGATCATTAAGTATAGCAAGGGTAGACCAGCCTACCTAAGGGACCGCCTTTCCCCACATATGCCCCCAAGAGCACTACGGTCTGGGACTCAGAACTTGTTGGATGTGCCAGGTCCCCGGGTTATCAAACTCGTTACGACCAGGAACAGGGCGTTTTAGGTGGCGGCTCCTATCTGGTGGAACGAGCTCCCAGAGGAGATCAGGGCTCTGCGGGACCTAGCACAGTTCCGCAGAGCCTGCAAGACGGAGCTCTTCTGCCAGGCGTTTGAATAGGAGCCGCCATCACTATGGTACCATCTACGCCCCAAGCTTTGTGGACAGGGTCACCATGATGTCACCATGAGGTGGGCACCTTGGAAGAGAAAGAGACTTTTAAGAGACCGCCATCTTGTTTTTAGGAGCACCAAATACTGTTTTGAATGTATGATGTCGTAAAAGATATTTAATATTTTAATGTTTGTATTGTTTTATTATACCGGCGATATGCCATGTAAGCCGCCCTGAGCCTACGGGGAGGGCGGGATAAAAGTCTAAATAATAAATAAATAAATAAATAGAGCAGAAAACAGCCTATTATTAGAGTTGCCAGATTAGTTAATTTTTTTGCTGGTCCTGGCTCTTTCACCTTTGAGGGGTACCCCAGATAAGCAGGTGATCAGGTTGGTCTGCAAGCAGTGAGTAGACGGCTCTGCTGCTTTCTCCATGTCAGCATGAAGAGGAGCCTGTTCAGCTCAGTTGGCAAACTCACCTGTTGCCCGTTCAACTTGCAGGGCGCTGTGATTGCAATGACCAAAGCCCTGGCCATCGATGAAAGCAAATACGGCGTACGGGTCAACAGGTAAGCATGATTATTATCCATGTAGAACCAGCAGTGCACATGGTGCTTTGCAGAGGAACGCCCGGAAAGAGGAGCTGACAGCCTCGATTTCAAGAGAAAGAGGACAGGGTGGCGGCAGGAGAAAGGATCCCAGGTAATTGTTGTTTAGCTCCAGAACACTGTGCTGGAGTCACTGCTCCAGGAAAGATGTCCGTGATGAAAAGACTTCTCCACTCCCACCCTATTTTTTTCCCCTTTCAAATTTTGTTACTTAGAACAGAAACAAAAATTATGGATTAGCCTAGCCATGACATTTGCTATATACTGTTAGTCACCTGTGGCCCCCACCTTCGGAGGCAAAACATGTTTCTAGACAAGATTGGCTTGATCTTATGTCATTCTTTTCCCCCTCATCCTCCTGCCCCTTTCATTTACTCTCTCTGCCAACTTGAATCTTAGCATCTCGCCTGGGAATATCTGGACTCCTATGTGGGAAGACCTCGCTAGCCAGACAGCCAATGCAGAAGCAGCGATCCAGGAAGGCAGCAATGCTCAGGCAAGGGCCTTGAGGGAGGGGTACGGGTGACTGGGGGGGGAGGTTCCACTGCATACAGGGTGGTAATAGGTAGGACTGTGGTAAGAAAACTTGACTTCTGGAATCTGTTATGCAAACGAGGGCTATATGCATAAAAGTGCTATTTTGCATAAGTTATTTGTGTTAAACATGGGGAAGGCGAAAGGGCAGTGTCCAACGCACTGTTATCTCACCGCTGTCTACCTGAGAGCCAGTTTGGTGCAGTGGTTAAGTGTGGCGGACTCTAATCAGGAGAACCAGGTTTGATTCCCCACTCCTCCCCATGCAGCTGGGGTGTGACCTTGGGTCAGTCACAGTTCTCTCAGGGCTGTTCTCTCAAGAGCAGTCCTCAAAAGAGCTCTCTCAGCCCCACCTACCTCATAAGGTGTCTGTTGTGGGGAGAGGAAGGGAAGGAGATTGTAAGCCACTCTGAGACGCTGAGTGAAGGGCGGGGTATAAACTCTCCTCCTCCTCCTCCTCCTCCTCCTCTCACACTCTTAAGGACTAGCAATGTAGCCTGATAAAATTCCAAAAGCTCATATTTGTGTGAAAGGGGTATAAACGTATCTCCTCTGTTGCACTTTTGTAGCTCCTGGGACGGTTTGGGACCCCGGCAGAGGTGGCAGCGGCTGCCCTGTACCTTGCTGCCGATGGCACGTTCTGCACTGGCATCGACCTTGTGCTCAGTGGTGGAGCTGAGCTTGGTTATGCAAAGAAGAACAGGATGGATCCCAGTTTGGTTTGCGAAAGCTAGCGGGTTAGAGCTGGGAGCCAGCCAAGACTTCTTGAGGAAGTGAAAGAACTTTGGTGGCTGGTAGAGCAAAAGAGCTGGATCGGCAACGTACGCTTCTTTTTTAAAAGCCTGGCTAGAGCCTTTGGTTTCTGGCAGATCTTCATTTTAGCTAACTCACCGTGACCCTGAAAGTGTGGCTGGCGACCGGTTCCTTTCTTATTTCTCTGTTTTGATATGGCGCCACCTTCAGGTCCTTGCAGACATTGCTGGAGTCCTTGTGGATCTTGTATGGACTTTGCTGCTCTGGTGGTTTACCTGGATTGAAATCTTACGTGTTTTGGATTTTCCCGACAGACCTTCTATTTCGTAATTGAATTTTTAAAAATATAATGTGAACCACTGAGTGGGGAAGTGTTCACAACAAACAGCGGGAAACAAATATTTTAATAAACAGATGGAACAACCCTAAATCATCCTTCCAAGATGAGGAACCCACAACAGGGATCGCTGTGTATGTCTGTCACAGCAAAATAATAGACAGTCCTGCGGCACTTGGGCTACGTGCATTAAAAAGTGGCTTGCAGTGCTGGCCGGTTTGCTTGCTGGCCCTTCATTGTCTGGGAAAGTTTCTCGTGGGCTGCAGCCGGTGTTCCCTCTCATTTCCCCCCCTGCTGCGCAGAGCATTCCACATCCTGAGCAGAACAGAACTGCTGTAATCTTAAAATGGGCCATAGGCAGTGTCAGACCCTGTGCGGCTCCAGATTGCTGCTGAGTGGGGCTTCCTGTGTTAAGGAGCCGCTTAGAGGGCAGACTGGCCGCAGCCCCGGAGGACCACAGGGGTCAGGAACAAGCAGAGCCAAGTGGCTCTTGGCCAGCCTACCCCCACGGCTGCCCTGGCTGCTGCCCTGGGTCTGAGCTGAGCGGTCCCCACGTTGCTGCCGGCATACAGCTGCCACCCGGCACCGAGGCTGCTTTAATGCCCCTATCTGCTCCTGGCAGCGAATGCTCCACACACTTGGTTTCTCTTGTATGGGGATAGCAGGCAAATGTGTCTAGAGCTGATGCATCATACAGCCCCTGGCTGTACCAACCTTGAAGAAAAAGCATCAATTTGTGGAGCTTGATAAAATCAATAGACAATTTATTTGGTACCCCAAAAAAGCACGAATCAAATGGAAATTATTACAAGATAAAAAAGAAAGAGGCGGATTTGGGCTGCCTAACTGGGAGTTGTATTATCAAGCTGCGGCGGCAGTATGGATAAAAGAATGGATAATACTAGAAGATACAAGATCATTAAATCTGGAAGGACATGATCTCAGTATGGGATGGCATGTTTATCTTTGGTACAATAAAGAAAAAATACATTCCAACTTTCATCAGCATATTTTGAGAAGCACACTGATAAAATGTCAGCAAAATCTAAAAGAAAATTATTACTTAAAAAACCCCAGATGGGTATCCCCTCTAGAAGCATTTATTAAACCCACCTTATTATCGGAAAACAAGAAGATGTCATATGAAAATCTACTAGAGAAAAATAATAAACTAAAAAGTCTAGAAAAGTTACAATCACTAAACATAAACTTGACTTGGTGGGAAAACATGCAATTAAAATCTGTATATAGTAAAGATAACAGCCTAGGTTTCTATGTATCAAACAACGAATTAGATAAAATTTGGCTTTCATCCAGTGATAAGTTAATTCAAAAGATATATAAGTTTCTGTTGGAGAACTATATTCAGGATGAGATTGTTAAATCCTCTATGGTAACGTGGATGCAAGATATAGGTTATAATATTGACACTGATGAGTGGGCTAAAATATGGAAAATAATGCAACTCCTTAAGTCAACAACATTTAAAGAAAATAGTTACAAAATGTTTCATAGGTGGTACTGGTCACCTGACAAAATTGCTAAATGTTCGGTTACAATCTCAAAAAATTGTTGGAAATGTAAAAATAACATAGGATCCTTTTTTCATATGTGGTGGAAATGTGAAAAATTGCAAAAAATTTTGGAGAACTGTAAAAAAGATAATATTAGAAATATTGAATGTTAATCTTAGCTTACTACCTGAAATATATTTACTAAATATAATTTCAGATTGTTATGAGCCAGAAGAAAGATACTTGTTAACTTATATCCTAATATCATCAAGAATATTACTAGCCCAATATTGGAAAAACGAGAGACTACCCTCTAGACAGGAAATAGCTTTGAAACTGCTGGACACCACAGAAATGGACAAATTAACTATGTTAATTCATGGGAAAGATGAAACCCTATTCTGAGTGCATAAATGGTGGGAAAATAGCTTTATGTAAAAGACTCCGAAAATATAAAGAAAGTGTCAAATATGTGGCTGTATAAAATGACAAATTTCATAAATAAATTATTTTTAAAAAAATGTTTAGTAATTTGTCAGTTTTTTCTCAGCATTTGGTCAGGTTTTTTTGAATTTTGGTCAGTAAAATCAGTATTTTTTACCCTCTGACTAGTTTCCACCCCTGTACTCTGTCAATAGTGATAGAACTGGAAAACAAAAAACAAACAATACTTCTTATGCCCTGCAAAATTCCCATTGTCAAATGGTCAGCAAGATATGGATATGTTTGAACAAAGTAAACACCACCAAGCCATTGCAGGTCTGAAGAGGGCTCCTTCATACAGCGTGAAGTTTCCCTTTTAAAGTGATTGAACAAAATATGAGCTACATTTATTTAGGTGTCATGTTAGGGTACAAACCTGAACATCTTGCTGGCCTTTTTCCTTGCATCTCATCTCATGCTCACGTGGAGCATATCTTAACTGGGGGGGTGGACAATATGGGAGGAAGGGGTCCTTTGAGGATCCTGGCTCAAAGCCACTGGACTAGTTCTCAAAATTCAACCGTAAACCTCCCAAGTTCAACATAAATTTAAATCAGGAGTCATTTCCTGTGGGAGCGCACAGGAGCAGAGCTCTGGCAGTAAGGAGCCCAGGGGGTGGGCACATGCAACAAGCCCCGCCCCCTGCTCCCAGCAGCCCTCACTCGGGCCATGAGGAGCAAGAAGCAACCAGGTAAGTAGCAGAGCCTCCCGCCTTCAGATACAAGCTCTCCTTCCTCTGTGAGGGCAGATCTGCGTGTCCCCCCCCCATAGCTAGCAATCCAAAACAGTCCAGTGGCACCTTTAAGACCAAGTTTTATTCAGGTACAAGCTCTCCCCCCTCTGTGAGGACAGATCTGCACATTTCCCCCCCGCCCAATACCTAGCAATCCAAAACAGTCCCGTGGAGCCTGAGCAGTGGGTGTTGCCTTCTGACATACTTCCGGTGATGTCAGAGGGTGTGGCATATGCAAACAAGTTATGCTAATGAGCTCCTGCACCTCTTTTTCTACGAAATGACCCCTGATTTCAATGCAACCTCATATATGGAATCATTAATCCAAAATAACACATTCAATATGAATTGGGTCCTGAAGTTCAACAGGTAAGTTCCTAAGATTCAACAGGTAGCTCAATCCAACTTCATATATTGAGTCATTCACTCAGTCCAGCCTCATGTATTAGGTCATATCCTTTACAAATTCCTTCCTGAAGCGTAGTATGTTGTTATTTACAGACTGTAGCAGCAGGCTCAAACCGACGTCATACTCGGGGACAAACCTTACAAATGAAGATTTCATCTGATTTCATGTGCAGACTTCACCACCCTGATGGATTGGTGGTAGCTTTCCATTTCAACAAGACTTTCTCAAAGGCAAAATTGCTTCTTAACAGCAAGCCATTGCTAAAAATTGCAAAACAATCTCATAATATGCAATTAGTCAAGTCTACTGCCCTCCAAGACAGCAAATCACCAAATCAAATTACCAGTAATTACAGCCATTGGAGCCTGGGGAGGGATCTCAGGAGAGTCTAATGCCATAGAGCCCACCAGCTCCCAAAGCAGCCATTTTCTCCAGGGGAACTGATCTCTGTAGCTTGAAGATCAGCTGAAATTCCAGGAGGTCTTCAGGTCCCACTTGGAAGTTGGGCAACTTCAGGACAGTAAGAGGGAGCAGCTTTGGCCTTTGCCACTGTGTTAAATGGTCCTGTAGACCACTGTTCTAATCCCACAGGGCTACTCTAAGGTCCATACAATCTGATGATTATGGCTGACTTGTATTTTTATGCAAATGAGTGTTGCTTATTTTTTTTAAAAAGTAAAAAATATTAACATGTTACAGGGCTGTTATGTCCTAACAAAGGACCATGCACGCAGTCAGGACAACGCACGTGGCCTAGCGAACACACGGAGCTTCGCGCTGTAGAACAATAGACGCTGAGGATACAAGAATGGACCTATCAGCCGATCTGGATCCTAGTATCGACCTATAGTTATGTGGGCACTGTAAATCACGGGTGTTGGGTGTGGTTTGGGAGCAGGCCCCCGGGCCCCACTTCTCCGTCTCAGTTTCTACCTGCTAATAAATCATGAGCGGAAATCACTCGTCTATGCGTCTTGGAACCCAGTACATTTCAAGGGCTGTGTTGGGAATCTGTTCATAAGAACATAAGAGACGCCAATGTTGGATCAGGCCAAAGGCCCATCCAGTCCAACACTCTGTGTCACACAGTGGCCAGAAATACCAGTGCCATCAGGAGGTCCACCAGTGGGGCCAGGACATTAGGAGCCCTCCCACTGTTGACCCCCCCCCAAGCACCAAGAAGACAGAGCATCACTTGCCCCAGAGCCCCTAGCTATACCTTGTGGCTAATAGCCACTGATGGACCTCTGCTCCATATGCTTATCTAATTCCCTTTTGAAGCCGTCCATGCTTGTAGCACCCACCACTTCCTGTGGCAGTGAATTCCAAGTGTTAATCACTCTTTGGGTGAAGAAGTACTTCCTTTTATCCGTTCTAACCCGACCGCTCTGCAGTTGTCGTGGAGTGCCCACGAGTTCTTGTATTGTGAGAAAGGGAGAAAAGTACCTCTTTCTCTACCTGCTCTTTCCCATGCATAATCTTATAAACCTCGATCATGTCACCCCTCAGTCGTCTTTTCTCCAAGCTAAAGAGCCCTAAGCGCTTTAACCTTTCCTCATAGGGAAAGTGTTCCAACCCTTTTATCATTCGAGTTGCCCTTTTCTGCACTTTTTCCCAAGCTATAATATCCTTTTTAAGGGGTGGTGCCCAGAACTGCACACAGTATTCCAAATGAGGTCTCTCCATTGATTTATATAGGGGCATTATTATATTGGCTGATCTGTTTTCAATAGTGGTGGTTCTCTTGCTCTTTGTGGATCTTTTAGCTGCAAAACCTGCTTCCCTTTTAAATCCACTTGATTTCCTCACAAACAGGTTATCCTGAAGGTATAGGTAACATGAGTGCCCAAGACTTCGGCAACATTATGGGAAGCAATGTTGTGAGCTGTTTGTTAGCATGCAAGCTGAGTGTTTCTAATGTTTATCAGCACTGGAGGGGAAGCAGCGGCAAAGCCACTAAAAACAGGTGGGAGGTGGCTCAGCTGGGTCTCTTTTTGGCAGTCCCTTTAAACCAGGCTGCCCAACAGAGCCCACCCAGGAGCCGATCCTATGGGGAGAACTCCCTGTGGGCTCTGCTGGGGCTCTGCTGCACAGACTGGATTAGACCAGACTACCCAACAGAGCCCACCAAGCAGCCGATGCCGGGGCTCTACTGGGCAGCCTGGTTTTGCCAGTAATTCCCAAATGTGTCCAGGATTGTTTCAGGGATTCTTTTCCCTATTCTCCGAAAAAAATCCCAGATACATTTGGGAGGCCAAAATATACCCAGGAAATACTAATGAGGTGTTTTTCGGGTATATTTTCAGTTCAGGTAGACCCCGAATGCACACCCCTACTAGAGACCCGTTTGAAAATTAGCAACCCTACCTGCAAGGATAAAAAAAACGTGAGAAGATGCACGGAGTAGGCAGGAACGCCAAAAAGCACTTCGTTAACTCTTTTTTATTAGCAATTAATGTACCATAGAAGTTAGATTAATGAGGCAATAAATTTTTACTGTGGGTAGTACATGTTGTTTTCTTTTATGTGGTGCTGAACGTCGGCTGATGGCCTCTCCCAATAGCTTCATATAGATATTAAACCGCATGGGTGATAAGATTGAGGAGCCCTGTGGAACCCTACAGGCCAGCGGCCATGGGATAGAGTAGGAATCCCCTCGCAACACTTTCTGAGACCACCTCCCCCAGATAGGCCTCGAACCACAGTAATACAACACACACGCCCCGGCTGTCTCATTGCTGACTGGCTGCTCAGTAGGATACCATAGTCCATAGTATTGGAATATTAACTATGTATGTACAATGGAAGTTACATTAATGAAGCTATCAATTTTTTTACTGTAGGTACATGTTTTCTTTTAAGTGCTGCTGATTTAATTTTTGTCGGCTGTTCTAGAGTCACTGTAATAAAATTGATTGATTGAACGTTCAGACTGTATATATTTTGATGGGGGCATTTGGAAAAGTTGGATGACTTTTTCAGCCTCAGTCCAACAGTTTGAATTGCTTTGTGACATCCCAGGATGAGGAGAGACACACCAGCACCACCACTGCTTTGGTCACTTTGGGAGAATGTGCAAACCTGCCTTTCCTTCTACAGCAAGCGAGCACCATTTGGTCATAAAGAATCCAGAAGGGGGAGAAGCCAATGAATGCAGGCGGAGAGAGCTTGGAGGAATAGGGAAAGGAATCTGTCAGGCCGGGGAGAGGGCACCAAAGCCAGCTCAGCTTGGAAGGGTGGCTCCTGATGCAAACTCATTTTCCTGTATTAAAGCCAAACATCAGCAACATGTTTATGGCACCTCTTTTCTTTGAACTGTGACTTTATTGGGTGATGGGATTTGGGATAAGAACAGGTACAGCTGTTGACCGAGGGAATTTAAAAAGAAAACATCAACAGGAACAGTTTAATGGCCAACAATTTCATGGTCTCTCGCTGTCCTGGGGCACATCCACATGACAAACTAAAGTCTAATTAGAGAAGGGCTGAGCTCCAGCTTACGATATCAGAGTCTGGGCCAGGTGAGGCTGAATCCAAGATGGGGCTGGTGTTGTTCATTTTGCCCTATCCTCTGTCCCTTCAGCTTCGCAAATGCTCAACATGTAGATGCTGTGACTGAGACAGGTAGACATGTTGAATCTCTACTTGCCCCTTCCAGGACTGGAAATCCTGGAAGCAGGGTCACCAACAGGCCTGGGGAAGAATACTGTGTCCTTCAGAGAGGCTTCATGTATGTGAATGGGCATCCGAAGCTTTTCATGGCATGGAAGAGAAGAACACCCACCTACCTCTCGATATTTGATGTGGTTCAAAGAGATAGTGAAGGAACCAGCTGGAAACCAGTTTAAAAAGTAGCAACCCTACCTGTAAGTAGAAGAGCAAGAGTCTTCCTTACAAGGGGTCATTTCGTAGAAAAAGAGGTGCAGGAGCTCATTAGCATAACTCATTAGCATAACTTATTTGCATATGCCACACACCCTGACATCACCGGAAGTCTGTCAGAAGGCAACACCCACCGCTCAGGCTCCACTGGACTGTTTTGGATTTCTAGCTATTTGGGGGGGGGATGTGCAGATGTGTCCTCACAGAGGAGGGAGAGCTTGTACCTGAATAAAACTTGGTCTTAAAGGTGCCACTGGACTGTTTTGGACCGGGGGGCTGGGGGGAGCTCTGCAGCTTACCTGGCTACTTCTTGCTCTGACTGAGGGCTGCTGGGAGCAGAGGGTGGGGCTTGTTGCATGTGCCCGCCTCCTGGGCTCTTTACTGCCGGAGCTCTGCTCCTGTGCGCTCCTGCAGGAAATGACCCCTGTTCCTTACCAGTGTGGCATATCTGAACTGGTGCCTCTTAAAGGGACAATTTGGATCCTGCCTTTCCTCAAAAAAAAGCCTAAGGTGACACACATGGCTCTCCTCCCCAGACTGACTGATGGGCTCCTCTTCCTCTGTTTTCCTCTGCTGCAGCATCATAATGCAGCACCTTTGCAGAGCTCTTCTCCTTGGAAGGGTGACTTTTTTGAATCAATGAGAGCTGTATTCTTCCCTCTTATTTCCTCTCCCCTTTTCTATCCTCTTGCTTGCTGGAGAGGTCCTACGAATTCTCACCTGCACTTAGGCCAGGCTTGGGGAGGGGCTGATTCCGTATAAGGCAGCATCACGTGTGTTTTTATATGCGTGTGTGTATCCATCATCTGGTTCTTCTTCCCAAAGCTCAGCTCAGCTCCTCCACTGAGCACAAGGTTGAAACCAGTGTAGAAAGTACCATCTGCAGCAAGAACCCGGGCAGCCAAGGCCATTTCTTTTGGGGTCCCAGAACATCCCATAAGCTATTAATGTGAAAAATAAAAGAGATAAGCATAGTATTCTATACTAATCTCATTTGAGATAAAATCATGATGTCTCAGAAGCAGAATCTGGTGGGGCAGTAGAATCCAAATCTCCTGGGTGCAGACTTCTAACTTTCAATTTCTGTATACACAACCCTTCGTCTTGCTACCATCTTAGAAGTGGAAGAAGTTGGGTTGCCAATTCCAGCTTGGGGGATTTAGAAGCGATGTGCAGGGAGGGCAAAGTTTTGGGAAGGGAGGGAAAGGAGCTCAGCAGAGATGCTTCTTCCATAGGAGAAATGGAGTTCTATGAGCACCCACCCTCTGCAGCCACTCTAGGACGTCTGGTTCTCCTACTACCCACCAGGGCTGCTGTTTTCACCTGGGCAATGTCGCCAGGAGAATATTTATTTATTCAAACATTCCTTATGGTGTTCAAGGTGGCTTACAATATAGATAATGCATATAATCTATCTATCTATCATCATCATCATTATCTATCTAATATATAAAATACCAAAAAAAACCCAAAAATTGAAAATCACATTCTAGCGCAGCGGTCACACACACTAAGTAATCCAATTTCAATCCATTTTCTAGCTAGCTGTCTGTCTGTCTAACATATAAAATACAAAAAAAACCCACCCAAAATTGAAAATCACAGTCTAGTGCTGCAGTCACACACACTAAATAATCCACTTTCGATGCACTTTCCAACTGGATTTTACTGTGTGAACTGGCAAAATCCATTTGGAAAGTGCATTCAAAGTGGATTATCTAGTCTGTGTGACTGCAGCCTCGGACTGCATGTAACGTAATCAAATGTGGTCCTAAGTAAGACTTGCCTGCACAGCCCCTATTGTTGGGCTATTGAGGACGTGTGTGAGGCAAAGCACCCTAATTTCCCTCAAGGGTTAACATGATTAATTGGAGGCCTGTTCCAGCTCACGGGTGTCCATGATTTGGGTCTTCCTGCAGATACCATCCTTCTTCTGTGATGCAAGAAAACTACTTAGAAAATGTCTTCTATGGACATCAGCTATAAAAGCCAATGGCAAGAAAATCAATCCTATAGCTGGCAATTAAAACACAGAACACGCAGGCGAGAGGAAAGGCTGAAAGAGAGAAACCAGCCAAAGATTTGGGTACAACCAAAGAAGGCCAGCCGGTGTTCTTTGCCACCAGGAGCCCAAGGTTGGACACTTCATGGGCAGCTGTCAAAAACGCCTCCTTTGGAGAAAAGGCATTTGAAGTAACTACCAACCAAGGGTGTTTAGAGGGGGGGGAATGATCAAAGGCTGGTGAGTAAATAATGGGTGATTATAGTAAACTGTGTCCTGTATTTACAGACTCCCAATGAGGTCCTCCCAGGCTACACTGACAGTGAAAACCCTAAATTTAACCACAGTGAAGAGTGATGTTTGCCCCTTTGTAGAGCCCACTTTGTAACTCAGGTTCAGCCTAGACTCACTTGAGTCACTCCACGGGGACTAACCAGCATCTCCTAGTGGGGACCCTGGCCTGGATAACCCAGCCTGGCCCAGTCTCATCAGGTCTCGGAAGCTAAGCAGGGCCAGCCCTGGCTAGTGTTTGGATGCGAGAGCTCCAAGGAATACCAGGGGTGTGACGCCGAGGCAGGCAATGGCCAACCTCCTCTGCAGGTCTCCTCCCTTGAAAACCCTGTGGGGTTGTTGTAAATCAGCTGTGACTTGATGGCACTTTCCACTTCCTCGTGGGGAAACTGAATGTTCAAAAATATGAGTTATTTTTCAGGATGAGGCATACAGTTCCCCAGGACAAAAGTGTGTTATATTTCCTGTGTTAGAAAACAGTGTACTATGTGGTCGGCTGGAAATGTTCAGTCCCCACCCCCAGATGCAAAGAACTGTATTGTAATATTGGTTAGCGTTCTCTAGGGAGTTCAGCGAAAGGAGGGGGTGCTTCTCAGTTCAGATGGGTAGCTGTGTTCATCTGTAGCGGCAAAGTAAACCAGGAGTCCAGTGGCACCTATTCCATCAGCTTCCTGTCAGAAGTGAAGTGATACTGTAAAATCTTGATGAAGGTTTACAGAAACAAGAATTTTTAAAAGCACAAAAATCTGAAAAGGTCCACATTTATGGAGCAGATCGTAGTGTTGCCAGATCTTGGCTGGGAAATACCTGGAGATTTGGGGGTGGAGCCTGTGGAGGGCAGAGTTTGGGGACAGGAGGGGAGGGACTTCCATGGGGTACAATGCCATAGTTTACCTCTGAAGGCAGCCATTTTCTCCAGGTGATCTGATCTCTGTCACCTGGAGATCAGTTGTAATAGCAGGAGATTGCCAGCTCCCACCTGGAGGTTGGCACCCCGAAGCAGATGTGAAGGAAGAATGCGGAACACAACCATGCAACAGACTCTGAATGCTGTGGGGAGGAGCAACTGAGGGTGTTTTGCCACCTCAGGCGCTCTCCGTTCATTTGCCATCCTGCTGGGTGCAAAGCCATCAAAGCCCTGGAGCAGGAGGCAGGGACCTATTCGAGAGGCTTTAATCTCTCAAGATATGTCCTATCTGCTCTTCACATCATCAATCAGACAAAATGAGCAGCACTTAAAAGGACTTCTTGCATTTACAAAGGTGTCATGCTTATTTAGTCACATTATTTAAATTACATCAGTATTAATTTTGGAGCAACAAAACAACCTATGACAAATTCCAGACAACAAAATCTTATAGACTAACAAAGTGGAGCGTCTGAAGAACCACCTCCCCCTAGACCACAAACCTGCCTCTCCACTAAGTGAGCCCATAGCCAGGATTTTTTAATCGGGGGGGACCTTTAAATAAGTCAGGGGGCACCCCGCGCACACTCCTGCACACACCCCCTTAAGGAGCACCTGGGTTGGATGGGAAGTCAGGGGGCCTTGGCGGTAAGTCAGGGGCAGGCCCCGAGATGCCAAACTGTGGCTATGGGTCTCTCCTCTAAGGCTGTTTAATAAAGCCCTTCCTTTGAAGCTCTTGCTGTCAAGAAGGAGGAAGCGGGTCTCAAATGCCCAGAAGGCCTTTTTGGTGGTGGCACTCTTATCACACGGTAAGGCGTGTGCCTTCACCTGACTCCTGTTTGGGATCTATGATTCTATTGAATAAAAGCATGTTCGAATGAAATACCCCCAAAAGAATGGAAACGGGGGAAGAGTTTTACTTTGCAATATAACAGTGAAATATCCTTTTGGGTCCAGCCAAACTGACAATACCATATCAGGGAAAAAACCACAGTTATGGCAGCCCTCCCAGGGCTAGGAATGTGCCAGGCCAGCAGTTCACAGGGGGTACGGATGCATGTACAGAGAGAGACCGGGTGGGAGTTCAGAGGGAGGGAGACAAAGATCAGTGTAGGGTAGGGGAATTGAAGGGGAACCTCAGAGGGTACAGATGGCGAGCAGTGAAGAGAGCTGAAACTGGATGAAGCTGGAGCTTGCAGGTAGAGGAAGTGTAGAGGAGACGCGGCTGGTTACTTTGCCAACCTTGGCTACAGGATCCCTGCTCTGGAGCTCTGCGAGGGGCCACTATGGCACCCTTTTCTAAAGAGCAATTAACACGTGGGATTCACTGCCACAGGAGGTGGAGGTGGCTGCAAGCATGGACAGTTTCAAGAGGGGACTGGATCAACATAAGAAGCTGAAGTCCATCAGTGGCTATTAGCCGCAAGGTATAGATGGAACACTCTGTCTGCAGCAGTGATGCTCTGTATTCTTGGTACTTGGGGGGGGGGCAGCTTTTGGAGTTCTGACGCCTCTGCTGGACCTCCTGATGGCACCTGGTAT